ACAGTCAAGAATAAGGGAAGTAGAGTTCAACAGGAATTCAGTGATTTGTATTTGAAGTGGCTAGAAATTAAGAGCCTGTGCAGATTCTTGGGTAGGGAGGTTAAGTAGAGTGTCTCGGCAAAATTCAGTCTGGTGGAATCCTGGTGGGTCAGCAGAACCAAGATAAAAGGTGGGGACCAGGTGGGAGTCTCTTGCCCACATTCAGGGGTGGGATCATGTAAGCCTGAACTAGGGACACAACAGTAGAAATGTACACAAGTGGGTAGACTGAGAAGCCAGGAGAATGGTACATTTATAATAGATTAAGAGAAGGAGAAAAAAGTGAGAAAGTACATCACTATAACTGGGACACAGCCAAATAATCTACATTCTGAAATGAACCAACTGCCACAGAGAGTGACAATTTATTGTAAACAGGATGAAATATATCACAGTATCAATGGAAACAGCCAGTAGCAGGCAGCGTGCACTCTAGTGAGCCAATCCAGATAATCATCCTTTGTTGTTCAGTAAATCTTTACAAAAGCTCTAAACACAGGACGATTGGCATTGTTTTAAAACAGTTCATAATGGTCTCACTTTGTGCCTGCTGAGATATCAGGCAACCAGATAACATCCATGTGATTCTTCACTTTAGTAATAAAAATGTTTCTAATAACACAGAAGTGTTTTTTTTTCCCCCCCCTCAGTGGTAAGTTAGTTCAGTTTACTCTGGGCAAAAAAATGTGAATTGACAACCTGCCTACTAATACTAATAAATCTCAGCATGTGATCCGAAATAATCCCATTATTGTAGTGGAGCTCTTACAAATAGGGAGGAGGATGGGATGGGTTTGGTCATCTAAGGAGCCCATTGCAGCCCTAGCACCTGTAAGTTTATCACCTACTGTGTAATACAGTGTTTCCCTTTATTATATTTATCTTCCAGGGCATTAAGAGATTATACCATCATTGCCGAGAGCTTAAAGGTGATAGAATAACAAGTTGGCAATATCAGTAGCATTGCTAATTCATCACATTCAAGCACGTGTGGACTTCTAAATATAGGAAAGAGGGATTAACCAAGGAAACTGTATCTGAGTGGGCTAAGTCAGGATTGCCCTTTGCAATCATCCACCTCGTTATTAAAGGCTGAGAAGCAGGTCACACGCGCGTGCAATGCTTCTGAGAGAGGTTCCCATTCATGTTATTTATTTTGGTGTTTGTTAATTTTTCTTCACAATGGTTGTGCTGTGTATCTATATTAATCTCTACATTTATCTACCTGTTTTCTGCTTCTTTTAAACAAAACTAACTTACCTTCTCACTAATCTATAAAGTCGGATGTTTAAACCATCATTTCATTTTCAGGGTTTCTAATTGGTCCTTTTTCTATCTGTGCATTCCAGATTCATACCTGCTATTTTTACTTCATGATTTTTTGTCCTTTTAATGGATGTGTGGTATAAGGAACAGAATTCTGCTATATTGCTTTTGAGTCTTCTTCCTTGTACTACAGTATATACTATGCAGTTAAAAATCTAGCAACCTCTATAAAATCACTTAAGCAGTTTCCCGTATTCCATTAGAGAAAATAAATGGATATAGAGGACATTTGGATGTCTACTATAAGCATGGTGCTGTTCTTAGTGTTACACATTTATTTTATTTTATTTTTTGGAGCCCACCGTGCCCTGGGGCTCTGCATGTGTTACACCTTCCACATTTTGCACCTTACTAATATTTTATCATTAGATTAAAGACAAGGCTTTATAGATTTGTCCACTGAAGATAATAAAAAATATGATCAATTTGTGCCCTTTCTGGAGGACGAAAAGTCTTGGAATACCTTTCCTTGGAGCATTTTGGCATCAAAATAAGGGAACAAAACCTAAGTGTAGTTATATAGTTTATATGTTTCTTAAATTCCCCTGATCACTGCTTTAGAAACATCCAGATGTTCTATGGGTTAATATTTTTGTTCCATTTAATTACATCGAATTGTTTTCTGAAATTAAAAGGAGCTGTTCCTTGGATTCTCCAGTGTTGCCTCATTGTTGCTGACTGCTGGCAGTTTTAAATTAGAATAATTATCCTTCATAAGTCCCATACTTACAGAGGTTAGCATTGTCTCTGTCTTCCCCTGGGCTGAGCTAAAGAGCATAGCTTTTTGTAACATAGTGCATTTTGCCTGAGATGACTTTTCCTAAAACAAGACTGTTGCTTTTTTCTTTAGGTCGCTGTTTGAAAAACAGACTGAAGTATATCTGCCAAAGCTTTGCCTGTATTTTCAACTGATTTTTTCAAAGTTGACATATATCAGGAAGATCTCCTTTCTACCTTAGGAGCTTTGTCAGTCTTTAGATTTGTTAATATCTTAATCCTGGTTTATAGTAAAAATTTGGCTTTCTTTACTATTTCTTCTCTTCTAGAAAAAAAAGTGAATATGGCCTTTGTAAAATTCAGCATGCACCGCTGTGATAAAAAAAGGAAATTTATTTATATTTCTAGTTTTTGCAATTTCTCCTCATCAGTAAATTATTTTTGCTATAAAATAGAAACCCTGTTTGTTACATTCTCTGGACTCCTGTCTCTTTCCATCTGCATAGTTTCTGTTCATATTAGCCCCCTCCTCCCTTGTACAGTGGCTTCACTTAATATATAGTTTTACGTTTTCTTACATAATTTCTCAGGATTCACGTAGTGTTTATTGTCTTACAGACAACATCTCACATTCTTTTTTTCTTTTTTCTTTACCTGGGTGGAGGCTGGACTGCTTTCTTTCCCTGCTAGTCTTTATTAGGATAGACAGATGACACAACACTGGAAGCTAGCAGTCGCATTTTGAAATAGTTTGATGTTCTTGTCCTTAGCTTTTTGCAGGTGCAGTTCTATTGAGTTAGAGAGACCAGAGGGGAAGAGAGGTAGAAGATGATCTTAAAGGATATCTTGTCAATAAGCAAGGAGAGTGGGGTTTAAAGAAAATGGTAGTGAACCATAGAATCAAATGCTAAGGGATTGTTTGGTAATTCTGAGTTGTTGGCACATAATGCAATTTTAGTACAGTGGGGTATAGATTATTCTTTAGAGAAATTTAGTGGGGGCAATAATCTGAGATTCAATATTCTGAAAGCATTTGGCTAGTCTCAACTTGGCCATATTTTTAAAGAAACGAGAAAGAATCAGTAGAGGGTAGAAACTGCTCAGGAACAAGGAACAGGGATGAACAGGGAGAGGAGCAGGGGAGATGGAATTGTAAAAATATGTGGCTTCAAAAATTCTTTTTCTCTGAGAAATAGCAGGGCAGGTGGCGGACAGGTTTGTGGGTGATACTGGAAATTTTCCATTGGAAAAGAGGAAATGTCATATAGGGGAGTTTCCATATGCTCCGTAAAATGGGAGAGGAGAGGGGCTAGTGAGGAGCTCAGACTGAGAGCCTCTCTCTGACAGTATCTATGTAGGAAGAAGCAAAAAATGAATACAGATCTTCTGAGGGGGGCTGGGGCCACACACGGATTAAGTCACCCTCCTACTTGAAGCTTTTCATTAGAATTCTTTGGCTAACAGGAAAACTATTTTTTCTTTCTTGGTTTGCATTAATTTTGTGATTTGTCCCTGGACACAGTAGGAAAAACAGCTTGGGACAACTGTAATTATGTTGGTTGGCTTTGTAGATTTTCATTGCTTTTTCCTGAGCTTAGATTGAGGTCCCCTTTAACTGGGGGAGCCCAACACCATCAGTATAGTCAGAAGATGAGGGTGTGTTGTGATCCAGGTTGAACTTGACCTTCACCCCAACTGCAGTTTTGTACAGATTGCATGTCAAGAAGGTGTCCGGGCCCCGCTCTAATGAATGGCCCACTCTCTCGCAACGGGACTTCCCATTTTCTACATCCTAATATGCTCATTGTTTCTGGGAGGCTTTTGCTAAAATGACTTCTCTACCTGAAAAGTGTCCCCTGCCCTCCCATACATCTCTCATACTTAAATCGTTTCCATCTTTCAAGACCTTGGCTTGAACTTGACCTCCTTCATAAAGCTGTCTAACCTATAGCTCCCCTCCCTCTCTCCCTTCAATAGTGGGATCTGCTTAGTTCAGATTTTCGTTTTCGGACTCTGCCCTGTTTTCTTAGGTAGACTGTAGTCTTCTCACAGGAAGGACCATGTCCTCTATTTCTTCTAGATCCATTTAGCCTTGTCTAGTACCAGGTTGTGTATTAAATCTTAATGATGTTCATGTATTCAGTTGCTTACAACTGGTGTTTTATTTCTATTTTTTTTTTGGTGTCTACCATGGCTGGTATTTAAAATGTATACACTCTATTTTTTTTTGTTTTGTACTGCTATAGATAACGGTTATTATAATGCAATATTTTTGGCATTTCAGGTCTTCTTAATGAACTTTATTAATGTAGTAATTGAAAATATTATGTTTAATTTAGATTTCATTTTCCCTTCCTCATTTTTGTGGTTCTGTCCACCCTTGGTTGGTCCCAGGTTATGACTCTTAAAGATGTCATGGCCCCTGGCAGAGAATTGTTGGGTTAAGGTGTTCTTTCCTCTCATTCCTGAAATGTTTTTTTTCCCACCTGTTAATGATATGCTCCTCTCTTCCACTCTTTTTTCCCTGAAGTTCATCCCTGATAACCAAGTCATGCCTTCTGTGTCCTGGATTTTTGCTATTTCTTCTCCTTTATAAAATACAATATAAAGGCATAGTCCATCTGGTATATTTGGTATAAGGAAAAACATTGATAATGCTGTATGTAGAAACATCATCTTTTTCAATTAACTCATTAATTATTAGTAATGCCATTTATCTTGTAATTTGGTTGTTTTTGCGAAGTGGTCATTTGCACTACTTATTCAAGCCAAGGAACTTTTTATGGCATGAAGGAAATATTTAAGTGGGATAATAAATTTTTTTACAAAAGAATTATAAAGTGTATTTATTATAACAAAATACGTAAGTTTATTACAAAGATGTATATGGCATAAAATTACATTTGTGTTTATTTTAGGAGTCCAGCATTTTAAGCCCAGTTCAGGACGGAACAAAGACACCTCAGATTGACAGCAATAAGAGCAATAACTACCTGATTGTAAAGGAGGTCAGCACATGTGAAATAGTTTCTTATGGGTTTATGGTTGCGTGGCAAAGGATTTTTGCTTCCGTATTTTAATATTATATTTGTTATACTTAACTGCTCTTCTTCTTCTTGAAGATTTTACTCAGGCTAAGTAAACTCTGTGTGCAGAATAAAAAGTGTCGGAGTCAACATCAAAGATTACTAAAAAACATGGGGGCTCATTCAGTGGTGTTGGACCTTCTGCAGATACCCTATGAGAAGGTTAGTTCTTAGTCACTTACTTCTTTAATTCTTTACTTTGATACAATTTCAAATATATAGGAAAGTCACAAATAATTTTTTTTCCCTGAACCGTTTGAAGTAAGTCTCCAACCTGATTGTCCGTCACCCCTGAGCCCTTTCGTATGCATTCCCTGCAAATGGGGACACTTTTCCTACAGACAAGCAGAACCATGGGCTGACTGTCCCAAGCAGGAGAAAGCAGGACACTTTACCGCCACCTAATCCTCAGCTGACATTCACATTTCTCTCATTAATCCGGTTGGGTCCTGTTTGACACAAAGATCCACTTTAGAAACAGATGCTGTTCACCTGTCAAGTTTCTTTAAAATCACCTCATGCCAGAATGCTCATGACATGGACACTTTTGAAGACAGACCAGCTGTTCTGAAGATGGTCCCTCAATCTGGGTCATCTAATGTTTCCGTGTGATTCGATGCAGTTGTGCGTCTTTGGCAGGAATGTGACACAACTAACGCTAAGTTCTTCCCACGACTCACTATCAGGCGGCATGTGATTTTGCTTTGGAGCTCCTTACTGGTGATGGTCACTTTAATCATTTGATTAAGGTGGTGCCTGCCAGGATTCTCCACTGTGAAGTATCCGTTTTCCCTCTGTAATTATTAAGCATTTTTGTGGAGAGGTTCTCTGACAGTAAGTAAATGTCCCATTCTTCATCAAATTTACAATTTATTCATGTGTTTATTTTTATCAGCATGGACTTGCGGATGCTCCTTTTATTCAATAGGTAATACTAGGTTTCTATCACTATTTATTTTGACTCAGATTTGTCCCACATTTGGCCATGGAGCCCCTGTGAGTTAGGTCCTCTGTCCTTCAACATGTCTCCAGCATGTTTTGACTAGTTGCTTGCTTTTTCGTACATTAAAGTGTTCCAGATTCACCTTGTGTTCTTCTTGCTCCAGCTTTGAAACCAGCCATTTCTTAAACAGCCCTGTTCTAAAACAACTTCCGAGTATGTGTAAGAAACAGGGGACAAAAAAAGGGAGGGGAGAAAGCAGAAAAGAAGAGGAAAAGAAAGAGGTGGAAATAAGGAACAGTAAACAGCAAAGGGGGCGCAGAGAGAGGGAAGAATAGAGACAAGGTCAGAAATAGAGAGAGAGAGACATGTCCAGGGTGGGGGGTGTGGAAAGGTGAGCGGAGAGGAGAGAGAGGGGGGTGGGGCAAGGCAGGGGGCAGGGAGAGGAGTGGGAGCGGAGCAGCAGACCTGGGGGAGGAGTGGACGGGGGAGATGCAGTGGGGAGGGAGGGGCGAGGAGTAGGGCAGTGGAAGGGGAGCGGGGGAGAAAGAGGAAACAAAAGAGGAAGATCCAGGTTTGTAGGCACACTGGGCAAGAGGGGAGTCCAAGCAGGAGGAGTATTGAGAGGCATCCAAGGTGCAGCAGAGAGGGGAGCAGAGCCAGGACGGGGGTCGGAGAGGGAAGGAGCGCGGGAGGCGTGGGGCAGAGCGGGGAGAAAGGAGCAGCCGAACAGGTATCGGGAGAGGAAAAGAGAAGGTGGGAGACATCTAGACAACAGGGTGGGGTGGGTCGGGGTAGAGCAGGGTGACTGAGGCAGAGAAACAGAAAGGGCACAGAGAGAGGGGAGCATAAAACAGTGGCAGGGAGGAGAAAAGGGCATGTGTGAAGAACATTTTTTCAGAATATTTTTGCCCTGTTCTGTTTATTTCTCTGTATCAAGTGCAATTCTTTAACTTACAGAACGATGCAAAGATGAATGAAGTAATGAATCTGGCCCATACGTTCCTGCAGAATTTCTGTCGGGGAAATCCACAGAATCAGGTTCTCCTTCATAAACATCTGAATTTGTTTTTAACTCCTGGTGTAAGTATTTTAGTGACTTCTAGTACTTCTAGTAAAGTGTCCATCAGTTTTTTGTTTTAGTAGCACTAATAAATAGAATTTTATTAATCTTTATCACCTCATTTTTTTACTTGTTGGGGTTCTTTCCCTAAAGAGAATGTCTTTTATTTCCATTAAGGAAACACTTAAAGAAACTTAAAAAATCATACGGGTTTTACCTGCAAATGAGAACTTGATTTATAAGTATATAGTTTAATGTTAGGAAAAAGATGTGGTAGAACACAGAACCACCTTCCCAATACCACAAGTACGATAAACATGAAAAACTCAAAAGCAGCATTAACTCTGCCCTGTTAACTGTGTCAGCGAGTACTAGGGAAGAACTAACTTCGAATAGTAAATATTTAAATTACTCTCAAGAATACTGTTGCCAACACATTGCCCTTCATGATAGTAAACTCCTCTTTCCAACCAAATTCCTTTGTGAGCAGTTTTCTTTTGATGGTGAATGATCTTGATTTTGTAGAAGCCTTGCATAGAAAACTCAGCATGGCTTTGCCTAAAATGTACCACTGCTCACAAGCAGGGAAATTAGTCTCAGTTACGTGGCATAGAAAACCAATCTTGTCAGCATCACAAGGGCACGCATTCCTCTCTGTTTAGCTCCTCGAAGCAGAAACCATGCGGCACATCTTCATGAACAATTACCATCTATGCAATGAAATTAGCGAGAGAGTCGTGCAGCATTTCGTGCACTGCATCGAGACGCACGGCCGCCACGTGGAGTACCTGAGGTTTCTGCAAACGATTGTAAAAGCAGATGGTAAATATGTGAAGAAATGCCAGGATATGGTAATGACAGAGGTATGTTCTTGGTTTGCATATTATCAGCTCGCCTACACAATATGCTCAAATATGCGTTTTCTGTTACTTATTAAAAGAAAACCAACAACCTAGGTTTGGAAAATAATTTGATCGTGCCTACTTAAGCACAAATATATTTTGCTTTAATCTAGTGAAGTAACATATCATGAGTTGATTTTTTACGATTTTTCAAGACTTCTTTTTTGATCCTTAGTGAACTTCTGTATCTTAAACAATGAATAAAATCCTATGAGATATTTTGGATTATTTAGAATGGAAAGGACAAAATTTTATGTTTCTCAGTTTTCAATCTGTAACAAAAATGGATTAAACTTAGCTTTTCTAGTGCCTTTATTACTCCGTTCTTGAAATCTAGAATGCGTGTTTTCTGCAGCTATTTACAGAAAGCTCTGAAGGGACTTAATTAATAGAAATCATCCATCAGTGATTTATTGCATGTGGAAACTTAGCTGTTTAGAGTAAGTTAACAATATAAGAAAAACAAATGAATTAAGTACTTCATTAATTTTGTTCTGTTCATTGTGATGTTTGACATTGATCAAGATTTATGCAATGAGTAAGTTACTCATCGGAGAAATCACAGCTCTTTGAGCCCAAAGGCTCCCCAAAGGCCTGTATAACATTCCTGTGTAGATTAAGGCAGCTTTCAACCATGGCTACCAAACAGTTATGTAGTAAATTATATTGATTTGGGGGGGACTTTCATGATTATATACCTTAAATTTGGGAATGGGATGATTTCTAAGATGACACATGTGTCCCTCCTGCCCCAAAGAAATCTTAAAATTAATTCAGCTTTAAGCTTTGAATTTTTAATGTGAATTACTATTATTAAACATTTAAAAGAACACATTAAACTTGTAAAATTTACCTTTTTCTTATGCATTTACATTCACATTAGTTCTTCATTGCCTAGAAATGTGGGAATTAATATGATTTTGTATTATGATCATCAAGGAAAGAATTAAAATGGGAAAGCAGCAAATGCTTAAGCCAGTTCCATGACACTTAACTAGATGACGTGTTTCTATGTGTAAAGAAGAAATTTTACATTATTTAATATATAATATTTTTGACACATGTACATTCTCTTTCAACAAAACTTTCAAAGTAAGCTGATTGTCTTATCAATTTAAATAAAATAGAGAAAAAATTTTATAAGCTGTGCTACCTACCAAAATATCCCATGTTGGGGTTAGGAACTTGGTGCTGATAATGGATAGACAAGACATCATGGAGTTTGAGCAATAAAATTACTGCCCCCTGGAAGTCTCCACTGCAATTATACAAATAAAATAGGAAGGTCAATTTGTCCTTAAAGCCCCTACTTATTCTTTTCTTTGTCTATCTTTTTAAAAAAAGTCTTATTTTTCCTCTTTATTTCTCCATGTCTGTTTTTTTACCCCCATTACCTGCTGATGCTTAGGACACATAGAATTTCCAGATTCTTGCAGAGTTGTGCTTGGTTTAATGCATTGCTTACTTATTCTCTCACTACTGAAGAGGGTAGGGATATTTTCTTCTGCTTTAATAAGATCAGGCCTGAGATTCCTTGTGCTTTGGCAATGGAGTCTTCCATTTGAAGTAGAAGGAAGTGACTTTCTTTGAATATTTTGCAAGCTTAATTTTAGTGGGTAATGGACTGATGAAGCATGTATTGTCATGTCCGTCATTTACTCCTTGCTCCTGTCCAGCTATCCCGCACCTGCCTGACTGGTTTTGATGGCGTTTGTAACTAATCAAATGGCACATGACTGGTTTTGATGGCGTTTGTAACTAATCAAATGGCACATGACTGGTGTCCTGCCTTCTTATAGTTCTGCTTTTGCAATATTACCTGTACAAAGAGGTATATATGTTTCCAGATAGAACAAACCTTTGGAAAGCACTGCAAGGATGAACATTTGGACTGCTATGTAGCCTCTCTTATTATCATTTCAGTTGATAAATGGGGGTGAAGATGTGCTGATATTTTACAATGATAGAGCGTCATTTCCCATCCTTCTCCATATGATGTGTTCAGAGAGAGACCGAGGGGATGAGAGCGGCCCCTTGGCCTACCACATCACCCTTGTGGAGCTGCTGGCAGCATGCACGGAGGGGAAGAATGTCTACACCGAAATCAAGTGCAACTCCCTTCTGCCCCTGGACGACATAGCGAGGGTGGTGACTCATGACGACTGCATCCCTGAGGTGAGCCTGGCGGAAGCTGAGCAGCTGTGGAATCGTCCTTAGGGCCGGAAGTCTCCATGTTACTGTTTATAGTGAGATAATTTATTAGGTCAAGGAACTGTACTCAGTTAAATAAGTAGGAAAATTTAATAGAGCATTAAAACATCCCCTTTTTTATTTCTGCAAGAAACTATGAAAGATGATTAACCTTTTTAAAATATAGCGACTTTTGGTTTCCCGGAAGCAACTATGGGAGTCTCTCAAATCCTAGGTATCATGATGTGATCAAATCGAAAGATATGACTGTGACCTCTAGTATGTTCTTGAGTGTCAGATGCTTCATAAATAATTCCTGGTCATCCAAGGGAGAGGCTAGCATGGTGCTGCAGGTCCTCTATTAGGCACACGCCGTAGGTGTACCTTGCTTTGTGGAATAGATGCATTCTCGGAAATGCGGACGTGAATTTTGCTTTCCTCACACATCATCTTTTACCCTCTGTCATACTTTGGCTCTGATGATAGGGGAAAAGCTCATTATAAACTGGTCGTCTGCCAACAGGACTAATGAAGCTTCCAGGAATGTACGTCGCAATAATTTCTCTCTTTTCTACTGTTGTAGTGTGTTGCAAAGTTCATAAATGGGTGATACACTAAATATGAGATAAATCCAAACATTTTAAATGACAGAAACTTAAGAAGGTGTCATGTTAGGTTAACTTCCCTACTTCCAAATAGTCCTGTGTAGTGATGGGCTATATTTTTGTGAAATTTTGTGCAATTACTGACCTCTCAAATGACCGGTCCTTCAAGCTTTGATTGGCTTGAAATGATAGCAGAAAAAGGAAGCATAGTTTAGTGAGTAAATCCATGGGTTCTGTCTTTATTTGAGGTCCTAATTCTGGCAATGCTTCTTCCCACATGCAGTTCTCTATGACCACTACTTGTACCCCTTGCGTTCCCCTTCTTGAATCTTCTCCATCCTTCAGAGCTTGAGTCAAGCATTACCTCTTCAAGGGAAGTCTCCCCTGATCTCCCCTAGTGGAGTCTGTAATTTGAAATTTGACATTTGAGTTTTATTAGTTAACAAATGTCTGTAGCCCCACATCCTTTCCCAAGATTATTGGCTCAGTGAGGGTAACAGCTGGGTCTGTTTCTTTTCACTGTCTTATTGTCTAAGCCTGAGTCTACACTTAATAAATATGTTTTGAATGAATGAAAGAATGAGCCAGAATCCTGGATCCCCTACTTCTAGCCATGTGATGCTCCTTTTATTCAATAGGTAATACTAGGTTTCTATCACTATTTATTTTGACTCAGATTTGTCCCACATTTGGCCATGGAGCCCCTGTGAGTTAGGTCCTCTGTCCTTCAACATGTCTCCAGCATGTTTTGACTAGTTGCTTGCTTTTTCGTACATTAAAGTGTTCCAGATTCACCTTGTGTTCTTCTTGCTCCAGCTTTGAAACCAGCCATTTCTTAAACAGCCCTGTTCTAAAACAACTTCCGAGTATGTGTAAGAAACAGGGGACAAAAAAAGGGAGGGGAGAAAGCAGAAAAGAAGAGGAAAAGAAAGAGGTGGAAATAAGGAACAGTAAACAGCAAAGGGGGCGCAGAGAGAGGGAAGAATAGAGACAAGGTCAGAAATAGAGAGAGAGAGACATGTCCAGGGTGGGGGGTGTGGAAAGGTGAGCGGAGAGGAGAGAGAGGGGGGTGGGGCAAGGCAGGGGGCAGGGAGAGGAGTGGGAGCGGAGCAGCAGACCTGGGGGAGGAGTGGACGGGGGAGATGCAGTGGGGAGGGAGGGGCGAGGAGTAGGGCAGTGGAAGGGGAGCGGGGGAGAAAGAGGAAACAAAAGAGGAAGATCCAGGTTTGTAGGCACACTGGGCAAGAGGGGAGTCCAAGCAGGAGGAGTATTGAGAGGCATCCAAGGTGCAGCAGAGAGGGGAGCAGAGCCAGGACGGGGGTCGGAGAGGGAAGGAGCGCGGGAGGCGTGGGGCAGAGCGGGGAGAAAGGAGCAGCCGAACAGGTATCGGGAGAGGAAAAGAGAAGGTGGGAGACATCTAGACAACAGGGTGGGGTGGGTCGGGGTAGAGCAGGGTGACTGAGGCAGAGAAACAGAAAGGGCACAGAGAGAGGGGAGCATAAAACAGTGGCAGGGAGGAGAAAAGGGCATGTGTGAAGAACATTTTTTCAGAATATTTTTGCCCTGTTCTGTTTATTTCTCTGTATCAAGTGCAATTCTTTAACTTACAGAACGATGCAAAGATGAATGAAGTAATGAATCTGGCCCATACGTTCCTGCAGAATTTCTGTCGGGGAAATCCACAGAATCAGGTTCTCCTTCATAAACATCTGAATTTGTTTTTAACTCCTGGTGTAAGTATTTTAGTGACTTCTAGTACTTCTAGTAAAGTGTCCATCAGTTTTTTGTTTTAGTAGCACTAATAAATAGAATTTTATTAATCTTTATCACCTCATTTTTTTACTTGTTGGGGTTCTTTCCCTAAAGAGAATGTCTTTTATTTCCATTAAGGAAACACTTAAAGAAACTTGAAAAATCATACGGGTTTTACCTGCAAATGAGAACTTGATTTATAAGTATATAGTTTAATGTTAGGAAAAAGATGTGGTAGAACACAGAACCACCTTCCCAATACCACAAGTACGATAAACATGAAAAACTCAAAAGCAGCATTAACTCTGCCCTGTTAACTGTGTCAGCGAGTACTAGGGAAGAACTAACTTCGAATAGTAAATATTTAAATTACTCTCAAGAATACTGTTGCCAACACATTGCCCTTCATGATAGTAAACTCCTCTTTCCAACCAAATTCCTTTGTGAGCAGTTTTCTTTTGATGGTGAATGATCTTGATTTTGTAGAAGCCTTGCATAGAAAACTCAGCATGGCTTTGCCTAAAATGTACCACTGCTCACAAGCAGGGAAATTAGTCTCAGTTACGTGGCATAGAAAACCAATCTTGTCAGCATCACAAGGGCACGCATTCCTCTCTGTTTAGCTCCTCGAAGCAGAAACCATGCGGCACATCTTCATGAACAATTACCATCTATGCAATGAAATTAGCGAGAGAGTCGTGCAGCATTTCGTGCACTGCATCGAGACGCACGGCCGCCACGTGGAGTACCTGAGGTTTCTGCAAACGATTGTAAAAGCAGATGGTAAATATGTGAAGAAATGCCAGGATATGGTAATGACAGAGGTATGTTCTTGGTTTGCATATTATCAGCTCGCCTACACAATATGCTCAAATATGCGTTTTCTGTTACTTATTAAAAGAAAACCAACAACCTAGGTTTGGAAAATAATTTGATCGTGCCTACTTAAGCACAAATATATTTTGCTTTAATCTAGTGAAGTAACATATCATGAGTTGATTTTTTACGATTTTTCAAGACTTCTTTTTTGATCCTTAGTGAACTTCTGTATCTTAAACAATGAATAAAATCCTATGAGATATTTTGGATTATTTAGAATGGAAAGGACAAAATTTTATGTTTCTCAGTTTTCAATCTGTAACAAAAATGGATTAAACTTAGCTTTTCTAGTGCCTTTATTACTCCGTTCTTGAAATCTAGAATGCGTGTTTTCTGCAGCTATTTACAGAAAGCTCTGAAGGGACTTAATTAATAGAAATCATCCATCAGTGATTTATTGCATGTGGAAACTTAGCTGTTTAGAGTAAGTTAACAATATAAGAAAAACAAATGAATTAAGTACTTCATTAATTTTGTTCTGTTCATTGTGATGTTTGACATTGATCAAGATTTATGCAATGAGTAAGTTACTCATCGGAGAAATCACAGCTCTTTGAGCCCAAAGGCTCCCCAAAGGCCTGTATAACATTCCTGTGTAGATTAAGGCAGCTTTCAACCATGGCTACCAAACAGTTATGTAGTAAATTATATTGATTTGGGGGGGACTTTCATGATTATATACCTTAAATTTGGGAATGGGATGATTTCTAAGATGACACATGTGTCCCTCCTGCCCCAAAGAAATCTTAAAATTAATTCAGCTTTAAGCTTTGAATTTTTAATGTGAATTACTATTATTAAACATTTAAAAGAACACATTAAACTTGTAAAATTTACCTTTTTCTTATGCATTTACATTCACATTAGTTCTTCATTGCCTAGAAATGTGGGAATTAATATGATTTTGTATTATGATCATCAAGGAAAGAATTAAAATGGGAAAGCAGCAAATGCTTAAGCCAGTTCCATGACACTTAACTAGATGACGTGTTTCTATGTGTAAAGAAGAAATTTTACATTATTTAATATATAATATTTTTGACACATGTACATTCTCTTTCAACAAAACTTTCAAAGTAAGCTGATTGTCTTATCAATTTAAATAAAATAGAGAAAAAATTTTATAAGCTGTGCTACCTACCAAAATATCCCATGTTGGGGTTAGGAACTTGGTGCTGATAATGGATAGACAAGACATCATGGAGTTTGAGCAATAAAATTACTGCCCCCTGGAAGTCTCCACTGCAATTATACAAATAAAATAGGAAGGTCAATTTGTCCTTAAAGCCCCTACTTATTCTTTTCTTTGTCTATCTTTTTAAAAAAAGTCTTATTTTTCCTCTTTATTTCTCCATGTCTGTTTTTTTACCCCCATTACCTGCTGATGCTTAGGACACATAGAATTTCCAGATTCTTGCAGAGTTGTGCTTGGTTTAATGCATTGCTTACTTATTCTCTCACTACTGAAGAGGGTAGGGATATTTTCTTCTGCTTTAATAAGATCAGGCCTGAGATTCCTTGTGCTTTGGCAATGGAGTCTTCCATTTGAAGTAGAAGGAAGTGACTTTCTTTGAATATTTTGCAAGCTTAATTTTAGTGGGTAATGGACTGATGAAGCATGTATTGTCATGTCCGTCATTTACTCCTTGCTCCTGTCCAGCTATCCCGCACCTGCCTGACTGGTTTTGATGGCGTTTGTAACTAATCAAATGGCACATGACTGGTTTTGATGGCGTTTGTAACTAATCAAATGGCACATGACTGGTGTCCTGCCTTCTTATAGTTCTGCTTTTGCAATATTACCTGTACAAAGAGGTATATATGTTTCCAGATAGAACAAACCTTTGGAAAGCACTGCAAGGATGAACATTTGGACTGCTATGTAGCCTCTCTTATTATCATTTCAGTTGATAAATGGGGGTGAAGATGTGCTGATATTTTACAATGATAGAGCGTCATTTCCCATCCTTCTCCATATGATGTGTTCAGAGAGAGACCGAGGGGATGAGAGCGGCCCCTTGGCCTACCACATCACCCTTGTGGAGCTGCTGGCAGCATGCACGGAGGGGAAGAATGTCTACACCGAAATCAAGTGCAACTCCCTTCTGCCCCTGGACGACATAGCGAGGGTGGTGACTCATGACGACTGCATCCCTGAGGTGAGCCTGGCGGAAGCTGAGCAGCTGTGGAATCGTCCTTAGGGCCGGAAGTCTCCATGTTACTGTTTATAGTGAGATAATTTATTAGGTCAAGGAACTGTACTCAGTTAAATAAGTAGGAAAATTTAATAGAGCATTAAAACATCCCCTTTTTTATTTCTGCAAGAAACTATGAAAGATGATTAACCTTTTTAAAATATAGCGACTTTTGGTTTCCCGGAAGCAACTATGGGAGTCTCTCAAATCCTAGGTATCATGATGTGATCAAATCGAAAGATATGACTGTGACCTCTAGTATGTTCTTGAGTGTCAGATGCTTCATAAATAATTCCTGGTCATCCAAGGGAGAGGCTAGCATGGTGCTGCAGGTCCTCTATTAGGCACACGCCGTAGGTGTACCTTGCTTTGTGGAATAGATGCATTCTCGGAAATGCGGACGTGAATTTTGCTTTCCTCACACATCATCTTTTACCCTCTGTCATACTTTGGCTCTGATGATAGGGGAAAAGCTCATTATAAACTGGTCGTCTGCCAACAGGACTAATGAGGCTTCCAGGAATGTACGTCGCAATAATTTCTCTCTTTTCTACTGTTGTAGTGTGTTGCAAAGTTCATAAATGGGTGATACACTAAATATGAGATAAATCCAAACATTTTAAATGACAGAAACTTAAGAAGGTGTCATGTTAGGTTAACTTCCCTACTTCCAAATAGTCCTGTGTAGTGATGGGCTATATTTTTGTGAAATTTTGTGCAATTACTGACCTCTCAAATGACCGGTCCTTCAAGCTTTGATTGGCTTGAAATGATAGCAGAAAAAGGAAGCATAGTTTAGTGAGTAAATCCATGGGTTCTGTCTTTATTTGAGGTCCTAATTCTGGCAATGCTTCTTCCCACATGCAGTTCTCTATGACCACTACTTGTACCCCTTGCGTTCCCCTTCTTGAATCTTCTCCATCCTTCAGAGCTTGAGTCAAGCATTACTTCTTCAAGGGAAGTCTCCCCTGATCTCCCCTAGTGGAGTCTGTAATTTGAAATTTGACATTTGAGTTTTATTAGTTAACAAATGTCTGTAGCCCCACATCCTTTCCCAAGATTATTGGCTCAGTGAGGGTAACAGCTGGGTCTGTTTCTTTTCACTGTCTTACTGTCTAAGCCTGAGTCTACACTTAATAAATATGTTTTGAATGAATGAAAGAATGAGCCAGAATCCTGGATCCCCTACTTCTAGCCATGTGACTGACTCCACAGGCTACTCAACTCTTCTCATCTTCAATTTCCACAATTTTTAAGTGAAATAATTATTATATGTATCAATAGGATTGTTGGAGGATTAAGGTTGGTAAGATGGTGATACAAAATGTTAAAGGTGTTTGGCATGTAGCAAATGAGGAATAAATATTAGCTCCTCTCAAGATAATTGTAATAACACATTGAGTGGCACTGATGTCTGTCTACCTACCCTATGATCAGTCCTTGATGCAAGCACCCTCTCACTGAAGGTCTGTTTTAGACCCGTCAAGAGAGATAAGCACTAATAAGGATACAAACACTGGCTATGTATTCCTTACAGATTCCATGAATCTCCTGAAATTGTTTACATGGTTCTTGAAGTGTATGCATTTTTCTGTGGAGATTTATAACATATTTTCATAAGAAAGAGAGAGAGGAAAGAAAGAAAAGAAAATGAAAAAACAAAAACTACTGCTCTACACACTTTAGAAATGGTATATGTTGGTGAGACTCACTGACTCATTCCAGTTTTCATGGGGAATTTTGGTAAATCTGGAAAAAATTTTTACTACATCCTAAAATAACACAAATGTGCGTGTGAACTGTGAGTCTGTTTCTTTGCAGAAATAGTCGTTTAAATATTTTTGAATGGCAATAAAGTATTATTTAGTCAACACATTTAAACATTATTTTAGAACTCTCTTGGTTGCAAGTGACAGAAGCCTTTAAATTAACTACTTTAAATTAAAAAGGGGAATTTCACTGGCTTCTGTGCTTGGAAATTTGGAGGATGTTTGTTCAGATGGACCAAGAGGCTCAAACCATGTTAGAATTCTTTCCATCTCTTGTTTCCTTTCCTTTGTGGTTTTGCTTCATTCTCTTCTTCTGGGCATGATTTGCCTCCACACATTTGGAGAAGATGGCTTCTTGGAGTTCAGGTTTACACTGTTCTAGTTTAGCGATGAGACAGAGAGAGACAGATGGAGAGAGAGAATGGAGTTGGAAGGTAGGGAGAGAAGTAGAGAGGAAGAGGGGAAGTGGGAAGGGAGCTCGTTTGACCCCTTGTGTTTCAGATATGATGAAGTTGGTCCAAGTGAAGTGCACATTCTCAAATCACTGGGCCCAGGGGAACAGAATACCAGGTCGTGGGCTTACCGTGGGTCGGGGTGGAGTGTTCTAGGCAAAGAAGGGAAACGGCAGTGCTTTCTGGGTGGACATAAAACATGTTTTAATCTGTAGGAACTAATGTAGATTTTATTTAGCTTTTTGTAATTGGTATTTGAAAATGAACAAGAGAGAAAACTCACTTTTGTATTTGAAACTTGCACAGGTTAAAATTGCTTATGTGAATTTTGTTAATCACTGTTACGTGGACACTGAAGTGGAAATGAAAGAAATCTACACGAGTAACCACATTTGGAAATTGTTTGAGAACTTCTTGGTGGATATGTCAAGGGTAAGTTACACTTTTACCATTAAATACTACTTCACATAGAGTAAGGTCATGGAGATGTAAATATAAATATAAATGTAAATGTAAAGATAAATATGCATGTATATATGCATGTATATATGTATGTATATATGTTTTGACTAAACAGTATCAGCAGAATGTCTTTGAATGTAATCCATTACAGTCAAAAGGTTGTAAGTTTCACAAGAGTGTGAGGGAGATTTAAGGAGTTAATATACACAAAATACCTAATATAGCAACAAAGCATTCATTTTTACTTTTACAACTGACTATATCGGTTACTAAATGAAATTTGAGTGGCCTTTTTACTTTGGTTAGAGAAGGCATTTAGCAGAGGTCAATTTGTAGGCCACCTGTCATCATGAATGCTACTACAAAGCACAAGTAGAAGTGATCTCAAGAGGTCTCAGCCACTGCTTTTGCACAGAGAGGCACCTGACCAACTGCTCAGAACATGCCTTTGTTCATTAGTGCCTACTCAGTCTTTGGAAGGATGCCCCAGTAATTAAATCATTGAGTGTTTTCACTCATGTCAGTCAAAATATGTTCTGCTTTTTAAAAAAATTTTGAGGCCATTTCCTCTTGTTTGGCTTTTGTAGGGGACATTGGGGAGGACATACAGAGTTGATCAGCATTTGCTAGATACTGTCCAGCATATGTGTCTGCTCCATTAATATTGAATAAATGAATGAATCAGTGAAGGAAAAAAGGAAGGAATCTTCTTCATACACAGCACTTAATAGTGAGCATTTAAAAAAAAAAATTTTCTCTAGTTTTCCCTTCAAAGCTTTGGGACATAATGTTGAAGTAATAGTTTCACTGATAGAAGCTAGTGTACAGGTAACTCCTTAGACCTAGCATATAACTTTGGTGACCTGTCCCAGTCCTTTGGATTCCTACGGGCCTGAATGCTGGAAGCTTACACAGGCCTCATCTAGATGTATTTGGAGGAGAGGGGTTGGTGAGGGCCTTACTTCCACTGTCTCATGAGAATGGGTGCTGACTGTTACCCATTAGCTCGCTGCTGCCTTACAACCTTTTCTGGGAGGAGGGAAGATGAAGATATTATAAAGGAAGCATAGACCGTAGTACACCTGTGCATCTGAGAGCATTCTTGGGTGGTACAGTAAACCATGTGTTACCCAGTCTAGGAACTCTTAGTTAGTCTAGGCTTTGAGGTGAAACATGCTTCTTTTATCTTTGGTGTGTGCATGCGTGAGCTCTGCTTTACTCAAGCATGTGTGAATAAGGCGGTTCCTATTTTACTTCATTTCTGTAGAACGGAACGCCACCTATTACCTTTCTCAGGTAAACCTGCACCTGTAGAGGAATCCTGCTTTACACAGGACTTACATTCCACTCATATTTACCCCCATGACCTTGTGACTGTCCTTGTAAGTGATTGGCTACTGATATCTCCAGAGACCTTGAAGGACTGGTTTATATGCCAATGGCTGAGCTTTAAATTTGCACATGCAGGAATATATTAAGAGATTGTAGACTGATTGGCAGAGTTGCACAGTGCTACTGACTGAAGATAAGCTTGAAAACACCAACGTCACAATCAAGGCACGAGCTGCAAAGCCAGAAGGATTTTTATTTTTTAAATCAAAGAAAGCTGATGATAATTGCCATTGACTGTGAAACCCTCTTTCCATTGGTGTGTTCCAGGGCAGTGGTAGGAGAGAAATCCTTTTATTTGCCTTTATAACTGATTGTTGTTGATTTATTAGAAAGCACGTGGACAGAGGTGAACTGTGGTCAATGTGAGCCTCAGACTATATTTTTTCTCCTGAAGATGTCCCAATTTTGCTATCACTTTCACAATTCTATAATGACCCATCAGGATGTAATGGCAGAATGAAATTAGATTAAGATACAATAGAGAGGCACACCTATCCCTGTTTCATACCATTGTTCCATCAATCAGTGCCTAACAAGACAAATCAGAGGATTTCATTTTCAGTAGATCACTCACAAGTCATTCTTTCCCTTTACTTAGAGTAACAAATAGGTAGGAAGTAGGAGTAAAAGTAAGATTTATATGTATTTTGATAGATACTTTACAAGTTCTTTAACTTGATAAGTTTGAATGGGTTTTCTTTGCTTGAAGACTTGATTCCGTAATTTTCTTGACTTCCTTCAGTTGAATGAGCCACTGGTAAGTCTCATTTTAAAGGGTTCTTTTCATGTGGACTTACTAGCGAGCATTACAGGGAAGTGAAGAGTATCTTCTATGAATCTTATTCTTGTGCCCATTTTTCCCCAGTTGTAATTCTATCTTTCTCCTTAACTCTCATGCTGACTTACAGAAATGATGCCCCTGTAGAGCGAACACTTGTCTGACTCTTCTCTGTTCGTGATTGGTTGGTCCCATATTTTCTGCTCTTCAAATCATTGACCTCATTTATAGAGTTGATCAGGCCCTTCCTGAAACGCCTCTTCACTTGCCCACAGGCTATCCGTCCTGCTCCGCTTGCCTCCCACCCCGCTGGCCACACCTTCTCAGCCACCTTTGCTGTTTCCTCCAAATCTTCCCAGGTTCTAAGTATTGCAGTGTGCCAGGCTAAAACCTTAGACTTGCCCCCTTCTCTGTCTGTACTCATTTGTTTGCTGATCTCACCTCCTCTCCTAACTTTAATATCTGGAAGGTTGAATCTTGAATCTTTCCCCCGAAGTTTGAGTCTCACATATCTGTCATCTGCACTTGGCTAGCTGACCTTGCTCTTTATAACTCCCAGGTCCCACTGAAAATTAATTCCATCTCAAATCTTTTGCACCTCAGTTACTAGCAGCTCCATTATTTAATCTAGGTATTAAAGCAGAAAAATTTTGGTGTTATCTATACATTTTATTTTCTTACACTCTAAAGCCAATGCTTTAGCAAATTCTGCAAGCTCTTACCTTAAAGTATCCACAATGTGACTACTTCTGCCACACTTCCAGTGCTCTCGCCCTGCCCCCAGGTACCATGACGTCTCATCTGGATTACTGTAGTAGCCTCGCAGCCTGTTGCCTGCTTCCGCTCTTGTCTGTATCCTCCATCTAGTCTCTCTACAGCAGCCATAATGATTACAAAGAAGAAGACTGTTGGTTCAGGCCATTCCTCTGCTCAGACTCCTCCAGCATAAAACCTCTGCACTATCTGGCCTCCCCTCCATACACCCCCACCCTACCCCTGGCCCCTTATTCTAGCCAAGCTAGCTTTCAGTTCCATTGGTGGCCTTCTGAAATATGCTGAGTGTTCCTGAAATATGCTAAACACACTCCCACCCTATCCCCTTTCCATCTGTATCTGCATGGGGTGCACCGGTCCCCCAAGCATCCTGAAGCCTTCTTTCCTCTCTTCTTTTGGATCCCTGCTTGAAGGATCTCGCGGAGGCTCACCCTGACCTCCCTGTGTAAAGCGGCGTCCTCTCCCCTCTGTCCCACTTCACGTGCCTCATTTTTCTTCATAGAAATTGTTTCCACTTGACATCTTCTATGTAATTCTGTTTGTTTTTTGCTAAAACAAATGATGGGCAGGGATTTTGTCAGGTTCACTCCTGTGTGTGTGACCTGGAACAGTGTCTCACACGTATTCTCAGCGAGTATTTGTGGAATACACAATCAAGTGCCAACTGAAGTTAAAAATACTTAAGAAGTGAAAGTGAAAACGAGTAAGTGTGCTCTGAGCATAGAATTAATTATATGTATCAGTGGAATGAAATAAACAGCCAGTAACAGATTTGTATATATGTGAAGTATTAATATATAATAATGAAATTATCATCCATTAGAAGGGAAGTGATTGGTTATTTCCAGGGATGAGCAAACTTTTTCCATAAAGAGCAAGACAGTTAACACTTCAGCTTCTCAGCCACTACTACAGCTATTAAAGGAGCCATAGGCAGT